CCTGCATCGGCAGGCGGACTCTCAACCACTGCGCCACCAGGGAAGCCCCAAGGACCAGGGCTCTTTAACCTCTATCCTGAGTCTGAGGCACAAATGTGCTTGTTCTAGACTCTGCGTTGGCACGTCACCACCTCTGAACCTTAGTTTAACTAACTATAATAGGATGTACTTTTGTCACAGGAGCTCCATCAAATGAACACTGGTGATGACGAGCAAATGCAGCGCATGAATCTTGATTAAACCCTGGACTGGGGGCATTGAGTGTACTATCAAGGACATTTTGGAGCAACTGGGAAAATGTTTACATGGACTATATATTAGATCATGTTATTGAATTAATGTTTATTTCTTCAGCATGAAAATAGTACTGGGATTATGTAAGAGAGTGTGCTTATGGGTAGGAGATAAATGCTGAAGTATTCAGGAGCGAAGCGTCTGTTGTGACATCTGCAATTTACTTCCAAATGGCTCAGAAAGAAAGTACACATACATAGAGACAAAACAGATGTGGAAAATTTCAACCACTGTTGAATCTGGAAAAATAGCATTTGGATGTTTATTATACTGTCAACTTTTCTGTAGACTTGAAATTTTTCAAAATAAAAAGATATATGCGGGGGTGTTAAAAAAAAAAAAGAGAGAGAGAGGGCACTGTACATGTCAGAAGACCTGGGATCTAGTCCGGGTTTTGTAATTAACAGTGGATGGTGGCTACCTAATAGTATTTATAGTATAAAAACAAAAAAACCCAAAAAACCCCAGCAAAATCCAGGACAGTGACCTGCTTGGACACAATGTGTCAGGTACAGTCTGAGTGCTTTACATATATTAACTTGTTTGAATCACCTCAACAACCTGCAATGGATGTTATTTTAATTACCTAATTAATTAATTTTTGGCTGCATTGGGTCTTCGTTGCTGTACGTGGGCTTCTCATTGCAGTGGCTTCTCTTGTTGTGCAGCATGGGCTCTAGGTGCACAGGCTTCAGTAGTTGTGGCACGTGGGCTCAGTATTTGTGGCTCATGGGCTCTAGAGCGCAGGCTCAGTAGTTGTGGCGCATGGGCTTAGTTGCTCCACAGCATGTGGGATCTTCCCAGACCAGGGCTCGAACCCATGTTCCCTGCACTGGCAGGCGGATTCTTAACCACTGCACCACCAGGGAAGTCCCTACAATGGATATTATTATTACTGTTTCTAATTTAAATTTGAGGAGACTAGGGGTCAGAAGAGAGTTTAAATAACTGCCCAAGGCCACACAGCTGGCAAGAGGCAGAGTCAGATTTGACCACTACAGTAATTGGGGCACCAATGCTTCTGTGAGATCAAATGTGAAAGCACTCTGAAGAGGATGGAACACTACACAGATGCAGTGTTGTTATATTATCTTACCTGGTCCAGAAGAGCGAGACAATTCTGGAACTCAGTGGCACAGAGGGCCTGGACCGACCCACGGCCAGCAGAGGGCAGCGCGCGGCCGGCAGGGGCTGGGGAGGGCCAGCCCGTCCCCTTGGCCCTGAATTTCAGCAAGGACTGGGTAACGCGGGCCCCACCCTCAGCAAGCAGCAAAAATGGCTTTCGCCATCGTGTGAACAAGAGAAAGACCCCCGAGAATGCCTGCCAGGCGTTACCTCCTCGGCGCCAGTGACTGAGTACGCGTGCCCCTTCACCAGCTTCTGGAAGGTGATGGCCTCCGAGTCTGCAGCACTGGTGATCTGGAAATGTGGGAGAATCAGTCCCAGGTCGGCCGCCGCATCCCGCCTCCTCCCTCCCTCCCTCCGTCACTCAGGGCTCAGCAGGGCCTTGGCCCGGGTGGGGCTCAGTATTGTGGCTCATGGGCTCTAGAGCGCAGGCTCAGTAGTTGTGGCGCATGGGCTTAGTTGCTCCACAGCATGCGGGATCTTCCCAGACCAGGGCTCGAACCCATGTTCCCTGCACTGGCAGGCGGATTCTTAACCACTGCACCACCAGGGAAGTCCCTACAATGGATATTATTATTACTGTTTCTAATTTAAATTTGAGGAGACTAGGGGTCAGAAGAGAGTTTAAATAACTGCCCAAGGCCACACAGCTGGCAAGAGGCAGAGTCAGATTTGACCACTACAGTAATTGGGGCACCAATGCTTCTGTGAGATCAAATGTGAAAGCACTCTGAAGAGGATGGAACACTACACAGATGCAGTGTTGTTATATTATCTTACCTGGTCCAGAAGAGCGAGACAATTCTGGAACTCAGTGGCACAGAGGGCCTGGACCGACCCACGGCCAGCAGAGGGCAGCGCGCGGCCGGCAGGGGCTGGGGAGGGCCAGCCCGTCCCCTTGGCCCTGAATTTCAGCAAGGACTGGGTAACGCGGGCCCCACCCTCAGCAAGCAGCAAAAATGGCTTTCGCCATCGTGTGAACAAGAGAAAGACCCCCGAGAATGCCTGCCAGGCGTTACCTCCTCGGCGCCAGTGACTGAGTACGCGTGCCCCTTCACCAGCTTCTGGAAGGTGATGGCCTCCGAGTCTGCAGCACTGGTGATCTGGAAATGTGGGAGAATCAGTCCCAGGTCGGCCGCCGCATCCCGCCTCCTCCCTCCCTCCCTCCGTCACTCAGGGCTCAGCAGGGCCTTGGCCCGGGTGGAGGGCTCCCGCTCCCACCTGGAGGCCCTCCTACTACTTTGAGGCGCTGCCCGGCTATTCACAACCAGAGAAGAGGCCGAGGGCAGCCCTCTGGGAGAGCGGCGCTTGCACTCACATGTGTGCCCGGCGCAGTCACAAATTCCCGCAGGAAAGGGCACACCGTGGAGGGGACTCAGGACACACACCTGATGGCATCGGCCGCCCAGGTGCGCTGAGTCCCCTGAAACTGCGAGGGCTGCCCCGCCCGCTGCAGGGTTTACACTAGGACAGCCGTTCGTTTCTGCCTGACTTCACAAGTGGCTTCTGTTCTACTAGAACTTCCCCAGTCATTCCTTCCCCATCTGTTCTGATGGAGGTTGTTATTTTTGTCTGGGTCAATGAGAAGGGCTGCGTCGGAGTAGAAAGGGTCTCTGACGTGCAAACATGGTTTGCAGAGAAAGTCTGAGAATCCCTGCCTAGAGTCAGACAGAGACTTGGGCCCCCAGAGCCAGACTTCTTACCCCTGTCCCCACAGGGACCAGAGCTAGGACAGGGCTCCGGTGCCGGGCACAGGCAAAGCCTGGAGGCTCCTTGGGGACAGGGGTTGTGCCCACCTCCCTTCCTCTGGCGACGTTCGCCAGCAAGGGTGGCACGTGGGAATGGTTCCTTCCTGTGCCTTCTGAAGTCTTGCCACGGGCCTCTTAACCCTGCAGCATTGGAGGGAAGGCTGATGGGCTCCCTCCGGTCATAGGCCCTGCAGATGGGGCAGAAGGTGTCTAGAATGGTCCTGCCTTGGGCCCAGGAGAGGGCAGGAGACTCTCAGGGAAGCTGTGGTTCGGGCTGGTGAGTCAAAGGAGGCTGAGGGTTGTAAGCAGGCTGGAGAAGGAAAGGCTGGAGTCACCATCGCCCCAGCAGCTGTACCCCAGCCAGCCTGGTGGTTGCCTAGCCACCCCTGGGCTCCAGGTGATGTGCAATATGGTGGACAAAGGATGCGCCAACCATGTGGGGAATGAGGGCAGTGGGTCTCTTTGGTCACTGTTGAAGTGAGCGGAGGCTCACTTCAGCTAGAGCAGATGGGGGTGCGGCCAGGGAGGGAGGCCTGGACTTACATCGATAGAGCAGCCAAGGAGAGAGCCTTTCTGCAGAGCTTTCTGGATGATCTTGAACAGGTTGGGAGGGGCCTTCCTTAACTCATACCACTCGGCGATGCCTCCAGTGAAGTCCTCGAAGCCCTCAGTGGTGGCACCCCCAGAGAGTGCTTCGTAACACCCATTGATCCTGCAGGAAGGGGACAGACGCCGCTGCCACCTGGTGCTGACACTTCTGCTTCTCAAAGTGCCCCTCCCCCCATGCCTCTTGTTGGATGCTGCAGGGACCCTCTGCTCAGTCTTTCCTTGGTTTGTCTCCACCTCGGGGTGCCCACGAGGGCCAGTGACTGTCGACAAAGCTACCACTGCCTGGTACTTTGTGAAGTTTTTGGAAAAATCTCACAGAACCTTAAGAGTTGGAAGGACCTCGGTGTTTATCTGGCCCAACCTCCTGTATTGATTCTTTCTACATCCTGGCAGGGAAGGGGAGGTCTGCTAAATTGGCTGTTTGGCATTTATAGCTTAAAAGAAAACAGTTCAGTAACGAAAGCAGCTTCCATGTGCTGTGTTAGGAGGGGCTGGTCTCTCCCCATGGCGATGTTGGCGCCCTGTGGCTTCCCTAAATCTACTGTTAGAGCATAAGACTTAGTAGCATCTCAGGCCCCAGATTCTTACAGCTGTGTGTGTGACTCCTGGCCCTCCTCCCTGGCGGGGGCTGGAAGGAACGGAAATCCTCCTGATGCCTGAGAGCCAGTCATTTTCCCGGAGGGAGCCCAGGCAGCAGGGCCAGGACCCGGCCACTCTGGAGGGGGGCCGACGTGGGCGTCCCGCTGAGAATGGGCAGTGCTGAGTGCTGGACAAGCTCGACTCCGGGCAGCCTGTGGGGGCGGGGGCCCGGCTGGGAGGGCTAGGGGAAACCAGTTTTACTCAGCGTATTATGTATTGTGGGCAAGTCTGCATCATTTTCATACCTCTGCAATGGATAGTTTTGCCCACGGGCAGCAACTCTTTGCTGTATTTAGCTGACAAAAATGTAACATGACCTGCCAAGGAAGCAGAGGTCCTTCTCAAGGCCAGCACCATCAGTACCATGACTTGTTCCTGTGCATTTGGTTAAAAACGGCAATAGCTGGGTGCGTTATCTCCTAGAATTGAGAGCCCGATTTTGTCCAAAGTAGTCCTTCTGTACAAGAGGACTTCTCTTCAGGACAGCCCTCGACTAAGTCCCGTATTGCTTCCCAGAATGCAGGGCAGCTGGGGGCAGGCTGCGGGGGGACGGGCACAGCAGTCACTTACTTGGCGTAGGCCTTCTCCAGCAGCGCGCTCCAGAACTCGCTGCCCTCTGCCGAGTGCACGAAGAGCAGCTCCCCGTCCTTGGTGGGCAGCCTGTCGTCCACCACCACCTCCACCCATTCGCCGTACTGCCAGAACTGCAGGAGGGGGAGGTGGCGGCAGCGTGCGGGGCTTCGTGAGCCTCAGCCGCAGCTGGCTCCTCCCTGCCCGTCCCCTGGGCGCCGGTTCCCCAAGCCCATCGCATCCCGGAGACCTCCCCTCTAGCCCTCCTCCTGCTGGTACAACCTCGCTGAGAAACGAGCGCAGAGGCACCTGCCCTTCCCTCCCAGGCCACACCTGCCCCTCCAGCACTCTGCCCTGTGCCTTAAGCTTTTCAAAATGCTATTTCTCCTTTACCGGCATAAAAGGAGAACAGCGAGCGGTACCTTAACATTTTGTCTCAGACCCCAAATAGTCAACTTCCTTAAAGAAATGTGGGAATTACTTCCTGAGTGCCCTGCCCTACCGCCCTCCTCCGCATTGCTGTCCTTACAGGGTCCCAGGGCGACGACAGGCCAGGCAGCTTCCTGCTGTCTCTCAATGTCCTTGCCTGGCCCCCAGCACCTGCTCCTAGCCCTCAGGACGTGCTCAGGAGAAGCTCGAGCCAACTCTTAAGTTACCTGGAAGTGGAAGATCCCCGCGTAGTTCTCCTGGAAGCTCTGGTCCAAGGGGACGACTCGAGCCAGGATTTCTTCATTCAAGGTGAGGGAGGCAATGGCTGCCAGCAGCCAGCAGTCACCTGTGAACACGGTGTAAGGAGCTCTCATCAGAGAGGTCTCAGTGCCGGGAGGATGTTAAACCTCTTGTGCCCACCTCTGGCACTTGAGGCCTAAGGCGAGCCCGGCACAGATGTTCCCCCTGGTCCTCACATGAGGGCTATGGAGGAGGGCTGGGGTGATGCTTTGAGGGAATGCTGAGGGAGAAATGTTTTTGCTATGATAGTTGAGATGAGAGAATTCATTCCCTGAAGGACCCAGAACCCTGTGATGGCTGGACTGTGTCCTCACAGTCGGCTCCGTGCCTGGTCCACCGAAGGTGCATGGCAGCAAGCATGTGTGGAGTGAGGACTCCAACTCAGCAGCAGAGGCTTCTGACAACACAGGGTTTAAAAGTGGGCGAGTTTGAGGGAGAGGAGGAAGACACTGGCAGGCAGCCCCACGGACACAGATGCAAGAGCCCGAGTCTGAGAAGGCACCCTGGGCTATCTTCCTGAGGACGGGCGAGTTAACACCTCTGGGCGGGTGTGTGGGTACCACACGTGGGAGTCAAGGATGGGGACAGTCAGATGGTCAGCTGTCTGGCAGCCTGGCCTCCCCTTAGCCTCGGTGCCCTCCTCTGTGACACGTTGAGTAACTGGGAGGCGTGACGAGAGCATGTGTGTAAAGCACACACCCATTTCAGGTGGTCAGAAGCAAGCTGGTAACGGGGAGGGGTCACGTTTGCCACGAGATAAAAGGCCTGACTGATGGGGGCGTTCTGGGACGAGGATGAGGAAGTTTACTCCATTCTTTTTTTTTTTTTTTTTTTTTTTTTTTTTTTTTTTTTTATTGTGTTAGTTTTAGGTGTACAGCGCAGTGATTCAGTTATACATATACATGTGTATATATGTATATATATATATATGTGTGTGTGTATATATACATATATATATATATATATTCTTTTTCAGATTCTTTTCTATTACAGGTTATTACAAGATATTGAATATCACAGGCTCCGGATGCGCAGGCTCAGCGGCCATGGCTCACGGGCCCAGCTGCTCCGCGGCATGTGGGATCTTCCCAGGCTGGGGAACAAACCCGTGCCCCCTGCATCGGCAGGCGGACTCTCAACCATGCGCCACCAGGGAAGCCCAGTTTACTCCATTCTTAAGGAAATGTGCACTTTCCTACAATTTCCCACGACAAGAATAGGAAATAGCCTCAGATGAGTATGATTTCCATGGCTGGGTTTATTTTTATTAATTGGCAGGTCTATTAAAAGTGTTACTGAAGGACTTCCCTGGTGGCACAGTGGTTAAGAATCCGCCTGCCAATACAGGGGACACGGGTTCAAGCCCTGGTCCGGGAAGATCCCACATGCCGTGGAGCAGCTAAGCCCACGCGCCACAACTACCAAGCCTGTGCTCTGGAGCCTGCGAGCCACAACTGCTGAGCCTGTGAGCCACAACTACTGGAGCCCATGCTCCACAACAAGAGAAGCCACCACAATGAGAAGCCCGCGCACTGCAACGAAGAGTAGCCCCCGCTCGCCACAACTAGAGAGAGCCCGCGCGCAGCAACGAAGACCCAACGCAGCCAAAAATAAATAAATGAAAATAAATAAGTAAAAAAAAAATTTTTTTAATGTCAACTCTTTTTAAAGAGTGTTACTGAAATTCACCACCATCTTTGAATTCTGTGGACTAGTTGGTGTCCTGAGAGTTGCTGAACC